AGTCCGAAGAAGAGTATGAAGGAGAGTCCGAAGAAGAGTATGAAGAAGAGTCGGGAGAAAAGTCCACAGATGAGGCCTTTACGAACGGCGCATTCAACAACAACGCTGTCAAGAAAATGTATAAAGTACAAGCTGATTTTGCTACCGTATTCCCGCTTAACGATGAGGGTAACGATAACATCACTGCGGGACGGTCTATGATGCGATCTGGACAGCAACATGCGCAGTGGACATCAGATCCAGAAGGATTACCTCTTGGCATCGTACGTTCAGGCCACGCAGAACTGATTAAAAGAAACTACATATTCCACAACGATATAACGACATTCTCAAGAATTATGCCAAATGGGGGGGAAAAAAACTATATTATAGTATACGGTGATAGCCAGTCAGCGGGGATCTTCGTTCCAGATTCTTCACCAGACATCCGACTCTTAATGAATGGACTGCCGGCCAAAGTTGACATGGAGGACATACACTGGGCACTAGCTCATGATCTACTTCGTCCGTCCGACAAAGTACAGATCGCACAAGACTCTGTGTACCGCACGCTTAATATACTTGGATTGAGCAGCAGTGTTTTCACAGCTCTACCCCAGAGGATAATTCGCATAGAAACCTTGCTGCAACCATTAGTAGACTGCTCTTGGGCTCTAGAGTTGATAGCACAAAACTACAGCTCCATTACTATTCCATTCCTGAGTATGGCGCACCAAATAGCAATCATTTCTTATTTTGCAGGAGGTTGCAACATTCCTTCGGCAGATGTAGCGCCTAATTCTATGGGCGTCTCCGTGGGTGATTCCCTTTACGTGCCTAATTGGGTACGTGTCTAAATATCAGACTTCTAATATCATACGTTTGCGTGGTTTGAAAGCTAATCAACAACTTGCAGCTTCTTGATGATCCGCTACAGGCGTCAAAGCGACCATTTCTCGTCCGAATTCTTGGAAATATTGGACAGCCGGGCTTCACAATCTTCTCTTCCGTTGAGAATCCAATGGCGTCACCATTAGACTATTCTAATTGGAGAGTTACTGACCAGAAGGCATTTAATGGTAAGCTAGAGGATGCTCTAGGAGCTACATCTATGCACTTGTCATTCACGAGCTGGGAACGGGCAATAGATCAACCAGGAGATCAAGGCAACCAGGATTCTCGGTATAGGAAGATGGAATCAATAGTTTCCATCCGAGAGAGAGGAAAATGGATCGGAGATGTTGACATGATCTCGGCTTTGCGAAGTGCCAAAATCTACCAGCTCCCGCCACAAAGCACCTGCGATCATGCCCCTGGGAGCGCACCAGCAGTGCTGATGATATCTGTTGAATCATGGGATGACCTCTGCGATCTCCCGGCGGGTCTCGTCGTTGTGCGAGCACACGGAAATTGGCTTGCAAGACTGGCAGTGGCAAGCTTTTTGGCACAACAGGCAGAGGAACATTCCAGTTCCATCAGTCGGATTACCATATGCCCTCCGAACGTTTGCTGGCGATGTGTCATACCAGAATTTGTCAACAATGTCTACATATACTGATGATAGCGGATTCGAAGCTGGTTCAGTCTCGATGCTTTCAAGGTTAATCAAGAACGCAGTTCCATGTTATTGAATTTGGGAATCCGGAATTTGGGTGCACGACATTGACGTGGCGCTTCTGCGGATTTAACTTGACCCGTCTTCCACTCACTCTGGCGTTCCCGGTCAGATCTCCTACAGTATTATGACAATTTCTGCTCACACCCTTGCTCTCTACCTATATTAGCAGCTAGTGTAAGTCTGTTTTCCACTAGGAGAATTCCAATCTCAAGAAAGCCAAAGCGCGAGCCAGGGTACCCAGGCATTTCTAATTTGTACTCTATTTCTTTTGTGCTGCTTCCATAACTCGCCCACAATTTGAGCGAGCCTCTCAAGTTTGTTATGAATTAACTGAGAAAGCGGGAGTGTGGCTTGGATTCTAAGTGCAAAGGAGCTTATTGCGGCCCAAAAACCCAATGATTAACAAGGGTAGGGGACGCTGAAAATAGGCCCATGTTCTCAAAATTAAACCTGCTGTCGTCAGCTTCATTCTAAACCGAAAGACGAGAGATGACTGTGCGCAAGGGCTTAAGTGCAAGCATACCTAACCTCTAGCGCTGCCGATTTGACAGGTTTTGCGAAGGAGACCTTCTCCCTCAGTGCGACCAACTTCGTCATGCTACAAGCATGGCCCAGTGATGTCGCTTGCACCTCCGAGATCAACTGTACACTGCGGCGTGGTGGGCTTGCGACCATGATGGCGAGCGGAGGCTCTACTCATCATGGTCGTCTTCTGCCTCGCACGAGTGTCTCCATCTTCGTGTTGGTAGAGGGAAGAGAGAAGTCGAAGACCTGCTGTTCATACTACGGTTTGATAATCTCTACAACCTTGTCCTATTTCTCCTCGTCTGATCGCAGCCAGCCCGACGGTCGAGGCGCCGCCGATGAAGATCCACAATATGTTAGCGTAGCGGTCTATCTCGGACGTTGTAACGGAAACGCTGCTCGGCTCCATGAAAATCTTGTGTAAAAAGTCGGCCTGAGACCACTTGGCAAGGCCGGCGCGTAGTAGCAGTGTCCTCTCACAACGTGTCGCCTTAGCAGCAGCCTAGATGGGCCCCGTAATATGGAAGCATGTACTTCCATAAGTTAAAGATAGCCTAACCATCGAGCTTAAGGGTTCGGTTAACTTCTCTAACTATATCGATGCTGTCGTTAAGCAGCACGAAAACCAGTGCATTGGCTAGGGACAGCGTAAAGTTACTTGAGCAGTCGGGAAGAGGAGAAAAGCTGCCACGACCGCCTAACCTGCCTAGATGCATAGAGAACATTCTTACGTCTACCACTATTCCTTGTTAGCAACGTATGTAGTAGGCGTCAGCATTTTTTCGGGACTCTCACGATTGATTGGCTGCATTCATGCTATTTATTCGACTTCCGTTGCGATTGGAGCCAACCCCAGCACCACGACTCCGCCACAACCAAAATAGATAATAGAAAGGCTGACATTGAGCCGCTCACCATGTCCAGCAAGTCCAGCAAGCCCAGGTTCCCCGGCATTCCAGAGTTGTCAACGTTGACGGAAATACGTACGGATGGGCAAAGTGCGATCGGAAACATGTTTTCCGGTGGGATAGTGCTGATGGGTGTTATGTAAGTAAGATCCAGATACCTATCAGCAAGGACATGAGCATGTCGGGCCAGTCATCATCCGTCAGGCGGAGGTCCACGTATTTGCGCAAGGACGTTTTCGAGCCATTACTCTGCCACAATTTCTAACAAGTTATGGTCGGGCCATATCGAACATGGGAAATTTGAAAGAATACAAATGTTGCCAACATCGCTCGATCATAGGTTGTCTTGGCTTACCATTTCCAACACCAAAATCGGCGCTCAATTGTATTATCCCGTCTTCTACGAATAATAGTAATTCTTTATCACTTCCCCGTCAACCCATCATCCTAGGATTCCTGTTCTTTGAATTCAGATAGACCGGAAATCCATTAGCTATGCTTACCCGACATCTCGCCCTTTCTACGACCCTGCTGGGCTTGTCCACGGCATACGTCACACCATACGTTGCTCCCTCTGACGATGGCTTTCCAATGCCCAATGCACAGCAGGTATTAAACATTGAACGACAAGCCAGTGGCCGACTCTCGAACTTGGCGCCGCCGCCAACTCTCAGCCAGGCCGGCATCGCCAATTTCCAGCTTATCGCCTTTAATGAAAACTTTGAGGTCGCCTTCTTTGAGGATATTATTAAAAACATCACCAACAATGTACCCGGCTTCGAGTACGAGTCACCCACCCGGTCCAAGGCCGAGATTCTTGAGATACTGGAAACAATCAAATCTGTAAGTATGATTCTACATTCAGAAACGCATCCTTGATTAACATATATACTAGCAAGAGGAATTACACGCCATAACAGCGATGAACATCCTACAGCACTTCAATGTGTCGGTTATCCCTAAGCCATGCACATACAAGTTCCCAACGACGACGCTCGAAGACGCCATCAACCTAGCCGAGACCCTGACGGCAGTGGTGCTGGGTACACTGCAAGATGCTGCACAGTCATTCGCGCAGAACGGCGACGACAAGCCCGTGCGCGCCGTCTCCGCCGTCATCGGGCAAGAGGGCGAGCAGAACGGATTCTTCAGATTCATGCTGAACCGCAAGCCCTCGGAGAAACCATTTCTGACCACGAACGTCGGGCCCTTCGCCTTCTCAGCGCTACAAGACTTCATCGTCGAGTGCTCCTCCTTCGAAATGGACAAGATTCCGATCCCCATCTTCCCGGAATTGAAGGTGCAAGCGACAGCCGAGCCACGCGACATGTACCTCCCCTTCTCAGCCAACTTAACTGAGAATCCAGAGATCAACGAAAGGTCCGATTTCACCAAACTTTACGTCACGTACCTCGTAGGCCAGCAGCTGCCCATCTCGGAACCGATCGTCAACCCCAAGTTTGACGGTGGCGTGCTCACCTTTGATGCACTATTTCCCTTCACTGAGAACCTCATGACGGGTTTAAGCATCGCCGCGCTGACGAACTCGTCCAACTTCACTGATGCAGATGCCATCGTCGGCAATACCCTTGCTGCTCCTGGCCTGATACAAGTTAATGAGATGTTGTCGTAACGGCGGTGGTTTACTAAGCGAGGTCTGCCGCAACTTATTCCTCTTTATATACTTCGTCACTTGCGCGGTCACTGTTTTCGTCTGAGCTTCTCTTGCATTACATGATGGCGTTGGGTTTATGTATATATACATCAGCATAGCGATGGTCTTCTGGCATTTACGGTAGCATCATGATGGAGTTTACGCGTTTAATCCGATTTGCACCATAGTTTTCTTCATATACACAATTTACTTCAGCTGGACACCCAGTACGATAAGAATAATTATTAAAAAAATATCCCAAAAAACATCCAAAGACTACTACTATCCCTAGTGAACTAAGGAGCATCAGGAATTGAGCCCAATACGAGGGTTGAACTTTCATCAGACTATTAGCATTTTGATTAACACATTCGTGTGCTAAACTTACCCCTAACCTTGAGGTTAAGAGTCTCACACTCTACCGATTGAGCTAACTGGGCCGAGTTGCGATTGTTGGACACCGGTGTTGCTAAAAGCGGTAGTGCATGCTGTGGTGGTGGATGAATGCTAGGGGTTGATGTTTGAGCTCATAGAATAATACGTGGCACATTATAAGCATGAAGCTATTTAATTTTTTCTTCAAAAATTGACATTTTACTCCGAAAAGTTCACGACTCCAAAATACAGGTTAGCATGGCTCAGAAAGGCGAATTCACTTTCTCTTGGTATTTTAGATAGATGCATAGAGCTGTCTCTTCGTATCCGTCTCTACTCACCCGATATGCTGTACCATCTATTCTTGTTCCCACACGTTAACCGCTCAGTCCTTCTTGAACTGGATGCCCAACCCGGCCGCCTGCGCCTTGATCCACTCTCCAGCACTGATATCCCTCTCTTCCTCAGGGCCATCAGGTATACCCTCACCTCTGAACTGCTTCATAACGCACTGGTCTTCGGGCCGCACGAAATAGACGACGCTGTAGCGCGGATACTTGCCTTGCACGCTTGGCGCCGGGATCACGCGGTGTCGACCCGCGCACAGCACGCCGTTGGTGAACTTGACAGCCGCGTCCCCGAGATTGATGACTTGTAACAATCTGAAGTCAGTAAATATTCGGTGAAGAAGTCTTAAAGGGTCCCGAGAGCATGTTAGGCTCTAAATAGCAATGACCACATCAGGCAGTAATTTCCCGCCTTCTTGAACGGCAAGACAGGAAGAAAATAACCCTGGATAATACTCACTTGCGCACCCCTTTTTCGGCCGCACCCATAACCACTCCCCAGGTAGGTCAGGCTCGTGGTTCAGGAGCTGCGCTTTGCGTGCAGATTCCGACCAGACTTGCAGGCCACCTAGCCAGTTCATCAAAACCGTGATACTGTTATGAAAAAAAGTGATTAAATAATGTCAGCTAGTCACCCAGCAAATTCAAAACAGCAGATTCAAGTTTGACATACGTGCCAAAATCGGTGTGACTCGGCGTCTGTATCTCAGGCAACTCCTCCTTGTCCCTCGGCGGGCCTCGTGTAAGTCGCACATGGTCGCCCGATTGTTCCTCGATGCGATGGCGACTATTGAACTCGGCCGGGTCAACGCCCATCTTGTTCGCGAGTATGCTCAAGATTGACAAGCCGATGCCATGAGCCGCCTCAATGTAGTCTTTGAACAAAGGCTTGGAAGCCTTGATCACCTCCGGCCAGCGTTTCTTCATTTGATCTTCCGGGACGATCACTCCAATGCCTCAAGTTAGCGATTGATCAATTTGGTTCGCACTTGCACTTGATATCCAGCAAGTTGGCGTAGAGTCATCCTCGGCTGAAAGTGCGGAGGTCTCTCCGCCATGCCCAAACCAAGTTATCCTCTGCCCCCACCTCTCAAAAACAACGGTCGGTAAAACATATAAGACAGCAAACTCACTTTCGTTCTTCCCGACATTGAAGAACTCGGCCGTATCCCTAGCGCCGGACTTATCCGCGAGCGTTTCACCAGCGATCTTGTAACCATCGAGCGACCCACCCCCGCCGCGTAGCCGATACGTCATCTTCTCCTCGAGCGGCAGCTTGAACACATCCTCAGCCACGGCAGCGATCTCGTCGGCACCCTTGGCGATGGTCTCTCCGGCTTCACACCCAGCCAGGTCGAGGTAGAAGAAGCCCCGGCCCTTGCAGACCTCGAATACGCGGTCCTGCTCCGCGGCGTCCTGGAGCTTGGCGAGCGAGATCGTCTCCAGCTCCACGGTGGGGAAGCCATCCGGGAAGTCCTCGTACTGGTCCGGGGTGAACTCTCGGTCAACTACTTCCTTGTGAGGCATCGTGATGTGTGGTTGGGTGGCGGAGATTCTGAGCTTGGGGGATGGGTAACCGTGTGGCTGGTTTGTTTGCGGGGTAGGAAGTGGGAGATGATTTATAGCACAGGTGCATTGAGCGTCACAACCCACTGCTGGGGAAGAAACCGACGAAGTAAGCCGAGTTGGCCCCGGGTATAGTGAATACGAGAATTACTTGTAAGCAGTTTATAAGCTGATTTGTGTCGATCGGATGAAATGGTCTACCGGCAGAGCCGAAATGCCATACATCAGCATCATATTGAGAGGGAGAGGGAGCGGGTTCCATTTATTCAATAAAGACCATCGTGACAAGTTCCAATGAGATGGATGCCCCGGATCATCAATGTGGGGAAGTAGGTAACCCCAACGCGGCCCCAACTTTACCAGAATTACCACTTGAAGCTATATCATATGTGTAATTCCACCCTTCTCATACGTATAAATAAGTCAGAGAGCGGTGAAGCTCGTATGTTCATTGGGATATTGAATACAGAGATAGTCACAGTAGTGTGTACCCTCCTTCATCGCCTACTATTCGCCAAGAGTGGGCGCAGGTATAAGTCAGAATGGCCTGTATTACAGCGATCAGTAATCAGCGCAGTTCCGATTGTCCGCCTATAAGCAGGTAGACATTATATCCGAGGGTGAAAAGACAAAGACAGAGGGAAACAGTAGTTTACAATCGATCTACATGATAGCAAACCGAGTACCTAATGGAGGAGGGAAGTAGCCGAATCAGCTGGATCGGCGAAGCCCCCCAATATCAACAACCCGTACGCCAAGGAGCGCCAGCAAATCATATAATATTGTACATGACATATCTCATTAGAGGGTCACATGGAGAAGACATCGGATCTAACCCCCTAGCCCCTAGTCCCTAGCCCCAGAAAGGTCCAGAAGGAGACGTGAAGACCAGACCGCCGGTTGTGTCAAGAAAGGAGTCAACGCTTGAAACGTTAAAAAAGGATCCCATCGCCTTTCAAAGTCAGTCATGCTAAACCACCATCTAACTTAGAGAGCGAACTTACTGCATTATCCCCCCAGCCTCCGTTCATGGTCATTAGGGAGTCCCAATCGAACTGGTCGTCTCCGGTGCCTTCGTCTGTATTTTCTGTTGACACAACTTGTTGTTTCAGTAGGTCGAAGCATATCTTTTCTGTCTTAATGGCGGCGCTAAGGATCGGTTCAAGGAGTTCCGGTCCCGTTCGGCCTTCCATCAACGCCTGCACGTGTCCCGCTAACGCCATTGTAAACAGATAGCCCTTGATATTGGTTTCGCCAGCTTTGATACGAGAGATATAGTAGGGAAGGGAATGTCGTAAGATGTTGAGTATATCGGGTCGAAGAGTAGATGGTCCTAGACCTTCATCCTCCTGTAGCATCGTCTGAAGCTCAAGGATAGCCATCATGGCTGGCTGACCTGCCAGAAGCCGCCAGAAGCCTGCCGCACAGATCGCGAAGCGGGCTAGATCATCCCCCTCTGTTGACAGAATCTCCAGTTCCTCTCCACTCGGGATCAAAGGGTATGTGGAATCCAGGGCTGCTGAAGGAAATAGTAGGCAGTACATTTTGAAAGCCGCTTCTGTCACCTGCTTCCGAGAAAAAGCAAAGGCCGGGTCTTTGAGACCAGGGCCTAGGTAGGGAAGATGTAAGCTCATCAGACATCGACGGGTCATGACCTCAACAAACCGGCGCTGAAATGAAGTCGGTTGTCGCTCTGAAGATGTGTATCTCTTGAGTTTAGTCGTTAAAGATTTAAACGCCGTCATAAAGCGTCCATGTAAAAGAATTGTATCATCACTGCGGACACTGGAGTCAGTTCCTGCTCTTTTTGGTAGTGATTTTGCTCGCGTACGCGAATCTCGCTCCTGAGACATGCCGCGCGGGAGCTCAAAATTTACTAGAAGGGGTAGAAAATGACTCCAGGGATCACTCACTACGTTCCTCGGAACGGCGTGGCGTTCAGCATCTGGTAGATCGCAAGTCGCTCGCGAAAGCTGTCTCGCAGAGCGAGAGCCATTGTCATGTCTGTGAACCTGTCACCTTCTTTAGTGGTCGCCTCTATATCATCCTCCATCAGATCCATGTCATCCAAATCGGCCGGGGCTCTAGTGTCCGACATATCAGGTGAGATTGCTGGAAAACCACCGGCGTCAATGGAAGTCTTTAACTCCAACTCTAGGATGGTGTTCCATAGTCTACGGCGTATTTCAGTATCTAGCCGAGACATTCTTGGAAGCCGACTAGGGTCGCGATGAAGGCCCATATAGAAGGCGCTGCGCAGTAATGATCCGACATGGATCCAGACCAAGTCACCACCAACCGAAGCAGTCTCACGAGCAAGCGTAAGGAGGACCATAATTTGTAAGCCAGTAATCGTCAGCTTACCCTTCAGTGGAGGGCCCAGAATCCAATACTGTGCCTCAGTCACCCATTGTATGGCCGACTTGCGCATAGAGAAAGACTCATCGTAAATGGTGCATCCGATAGCCATGACCAGTTGCAACTGGATGATAAAAGGCATTCCAACTGTATCAGGCGTCGCCCAGAACTTTTCGTAGTCACTCTTGAAGGATGGTACATGTATAACACGAAAGACAGTCTCGAGGGTCCGTAAGTAGGCATCGACAAGCTTGTCTGCAACATCCCTAGGGGGGATGTTGGTCCCAAATTTGGTGATAATGTCAGGACAGCGTTGTGCTTTGATAGTTCGCGCTAACGCCTTGCACTTGTTCAAGACCTCCATGGCCTCAGACTTGGCATCCTTGGACTGATGCTCGAACACCTCGAGCAGTGATTTAAACTAGTATGTCGTTAGTGACAGAGTGAGGGTCGTGTGCGAGAAGGGGGGACGAACATGTATTATACCGTTCATCCAATGACTCTGACCGAAGTAGCGTGTCTTGGACATAACACCCCTGCTCATGGGATGAATGTCGGCAGCCAGGTAGCTTTCGATGGTCTGCTCTTCGTGGCGCGCTGATCGTCGGGCATTCTTCTCTGGTGGTTCTCGAGCCGCCGCTGATTCATCCACACGACGCTCGAGCTCGAAGAGTCGATTCAATACTTTATCAACATCGAGTAACGGCGCATCTGCATCGACGAGTTCTGTATCACGCAACGTAGGGGCCTGAACTTTTTCATGGTCATGCAAATGTGGTGTAAGTGTGCTGGAA